GCAAGAGGGAGGTCTAGGTAAAAATTATGTTCTGATTTGGACCTGGGGGGTGGTTATTCGGGAATTCACTTCACAAGTCTACGTTAAAACTGTGCGTGTAAATCTCGGGTATTTTTGTTTATTTATTTCTCACAATTATAAAGATCTGGATTGTAAAATGGAAGTGTATAAAATTAGAGCCTTCCCAGGAAATATTATTAAATCTGAAAATGAATAAAAACAAGACTGGGGCCTCCCGAGGGCGATAAAATCAATCTGAGATAAACATATTCCCAATGCCATAAAGATAAATCAGTTTTGTAAATCCATTCATGCTAAATGCCTGAGGATAGTTTTGCTAAAAGAAGCAAGAAGGTGAATTTTTGCCAAGGAAGTTAAGTAAGGGGGTGGGGGGAGCAAGCATTAATAAACACCTGTAGAGTTTCATTTTAAAAATAAAAAATTTCTTTTTAACGTTGAGGGGTTAGCGAGACAAGCTGCAACCAGAAAGCTGGCCGGAGAACAGGAAAGTGCCACCTTTCTGAAACTCCTTTGGCACAGCCCCTCCCACGGCATTTTCTACAGGCTCGCAGATGGAAACAGGGCCCTGGGTGAGCTGTCTTTTACTTGGTTGGGATGTAGCACAGAGCTTTAAAAGTTTGAATTTTAAAAACACTAGTTGTGAGTCAGGAGCCAGGCTGCCTAGTGGTTATACAATATGTAGTAAGACGGGGCTTTCTAATCCCATAAAGAGTTAGTTACACTCTCGGAAGCTCACAGGAGCAGTGCTGTCGGATCGCTATGAGTCTGCATCGACGCCATGGGAGTGAGTTTTCTTTTTTCAGAGTTGAAGCAGATACCTTCAGTGTGACACAGGCAGCTTACCCACCAGGCCACCAATAAAGATTCTGCCTCTGTTTTCAAGCACATGTCTAGGAATTATGCTTTAAATCGAATGTTGCTTAACACATGGCTTGTTTGTTTTGTTAAGTTACTGTGAGTAACTTTTACAAAGGGACAAGAACAGTTGTGTGGCGCCTGTTGGGACTCGTGGCAACCCTTGAGTGTAGAGTAGAACTGTGTTCCTAGGATTGTCAAGGCTGTGATGGATTGGCAGGCCTTTCTTCTGAGGAGCCCTGAGTTTGAACTCCTCACCTCTGGGCTAGTGATCTGTGCTGCCCTGGAACCCTGAAAGCATGATTTTTACCAATTAAAAAAGAAAATAAGTTGAATTGGCCAGACCTGTGCCATGAGTGAGTACTATTTAACAGTACTGTTAATGAGCTTATGCCTTAAATTGATCTTGTGTTTAAACATCTACCTGAATTTTATACTACAACTGTCTAGGTAGCCCAGGACCAGCCAAGAGCAGTTTTTGGTGTCAGGACCTAGTTTTGAATCCTGACTCCGTGACTCAACTCCTAACGAACTTATTTGACATCTCTGACCTCAGTTTCTTTCTTTGTAAAAGGAGATTAAGAATATCTACCTTAAAAAAAAGAATATCTACCTTAAAAAAAAGAATATCTACCTTAGACAGTTATGAAAATTAGAGGTTATCATATGTAAGACATTTAATACATAGTAAGACTTCCATAAATAATGTAAAAGAATCGATAAATCTAGTTTAAAATTTACTCCATTAATATGTAATATTGTACTATTTCAATAGTTTATAAGTGCTTGTTTGATTTCTAATTTTCTATAAGCCTTAAATTCTAGGTTTCAGCGCCTCTATATGGTACATGGGAGCTCTAGTAGCATAGTGATTATGCATTGGACTATGACCCATAAGGTCCACAGTTTGAAACCACCAGCCACTCAGAGAAAGAAAGAAGGGGCTTTCTACTCCCATAAACAGTTATGGTCTCAGAAACTCTCAGAGGCAGTTTTACTATAAGTTTACATAGACCCAATGTGAGTTTTTCAGAGCTGATATGGTACATCGAGCCCCTGAGCAACACAAACCATTGAGAACCCTAAGGAGCACATAGGGTTTACGGTAAAGCACCAAGTTTTCACGAGTCAGAATGGACTTGACCGCGACTACAGGTTTTATCATATATATATACACACATATACATGTCTCTCTATATATATACACATTAAGCAGAGACAGATTAGAGGGATAAATAGACACTGTCACAGACCTAGTACTTAGGTTAGCAGGATTGTAATAACCAATGTTAATATCCCGTAAGTCAGTAAGAAATGTATTT